CACACACACACACAAACACACACACAGAGAGAGCACCCCACACACACACACACACACACACACACACACACACACACACACACACACACAGAGGAAGATTAAGGCAGGCTGGAGAAGTAGCCCAGTGGTAAGAGCGCTTGCTGTGCTGTGTAAGTTAAGGACCCAGGTTTAAATCCATAGCACCCACATAAAAAGCCAGGCATTCCTGTAACCCCAGCAGTGATGAGGGTGGAGATGGAGACAGATGGATCCCAGGAGCTCACTGAGCCCAAACAGCCAGCTTCCAGTACAGTGAGAGAACCTTTCGCAAGGCAATAAGGGAGAATGATACAGGAAGATGCCAGTGTTCTCCTTTGACCTTCCCATGTGCACACACGACCACATGCAGCCGCATACTCATGAAGACACCACATACGTGTGTGGGCACTCGCACATGTGTGTGCACAAGCACACATTTGCACACACAGACACACACGCATGCACGCACACAGATAATTAAAAATTTTACAAAGATTAAGATGACAAAATGGGCAAGGGGTAAACTCAGCATCTGTTCTTTTCTCTGGTAATTTCTTTTTTCAGAACTCCAAATCAACTGACCAAAGGAAATCACAGCGACCCTGGATTTCTTTTTTCTACACTCAGCTTTTCTCTAAAAGGGGGCAAACTCTGGATAACAATTTGGAAATCATTCTGCAAGTTTATTCATGTTGGCCAACAAAGATATTATGAATGCCAAAATAATCCATATGTCCATATGGACAGAGAGCTGAAAATGGGCTACATTCTTCTTCCTTCCACCTGTGTAGGTGGAGACAGCATGCCCCCAGCAGACACAGGCCATTTCTGTAGAATTACCAACTTCCCCAAATCGGACCACACATAGAAAACTGACTCCTGCTGGCAAGACTGATTCCATGCTCTCACCCTATCTCTCTTTCCTTTCTCCCCAGGCTGGCATAGTTTGGGGGCAGGGAAACAGAAGAGGCAGCAGCAAGCTACAAAAAATCCAGCAAGAGGTTTGGTGGCGGCTGTTTTTTATATTTAATTGACTCAGTATAGAAGAGTAATTATCTACCTTGGCTTCAGCGCACCCCGGGGTGCCAGCCACAATCACGTGGGATCAGATTATTCCAAAGGATGTGTGTTCATTTTCTTTTACCTTAGTTAAAAAGACATTATGCTATAAAGCAGCCTTCAGATGAGGAGATAATGTGCCATGAAGACACACTAACAAGCAAGGGGGTTGGGACTGTACAAATGCTGCCATGGCTAGGGCGGGAGGCTGAGGGGAACAAGGGCACATGGCAGCCTTCTGAGGCCTCATGGTGGGGTGAAGGCTATGTTCTCCATGGGAGAACAGTGGATGGGAAATCTGGATCATGTCATAGCTGGGTCCCCACCTCATTGTGACAAGTTTCTCTTTGACAGGAAGGGAAAGGGCTCAGCCAGGGAGTTCCCTGGCTTTCCAGCCATCGGTCCCAGGTATTTCTGTCCTGCTCCAGATCGTGTGACTTCCTTTAACTGGCCCCCATTCTTCCCTAGAAGGTGATGGAAGCCTAGAACGGGACGAAATGGATGAGGACAAGAAGCTGAAGGCAGAATCTGGCTCCCAGGCTGGGCAGCAACTGTGGGGACCTTGCATCTGGAAAGGTCAGGAGCAAACTGTGGGATTCAGGCCTGAGCCTGGCATCCTAGGGCTGGGAAAGCAGACCAGGCCAAGAGTCAGGCTGAGATTAGAGACAAGAAAAAAGAACACACATCTGCTGGGGATGGGCAGCATACATACAAGGGTGTTAAGTGTATTCCCCTTACCCATCCCCAGCGCCAGGCCCCACTCCTTTTTTTAGTTTTGACTGAAAGTATTCTTTGAAGGCCTTTGTATGCTGCCTCTGAGGGATGCTCCCTTTTTATCCCCTGGATGTTGGAGGAATTTACAAAGCTGGGCCAGGCAGAAGCTGTCCTGGAGGTGACTTCCAAAACATAACCCCCCAGCCTTTGCCTCATTGGAGGTTAACAGAGGTCACGCAGTGGCCACATTGATATCAAAGCCCACAGGCTGGCCCACACTTCTCTGGGGATCTGGGCCTGGGCTGGGAAGAAAGTCATGCTCACAGTAGGGATCGGGTCTGCACAGGTTGCCTGAACCCATCATCTCCTCTGAAGTTCCCTGAGAATGACGAGGACATCCCTTGACAACCGTAGAGCCTGGCCTCCCCAAGCAGATCTTGGCTGCCATTTTAAGATAGCCACTGCCCCACTTTGTGCAAAATCTTCCTGCTTGCATCCAGGAGGGTCTCCTGGTGTTCTGGCTTGCCTTCTCCACCTGTGGTTTTCCCTGACCCATAGGATGAGGGGACAGTCAGTAGGCTGCTCCTAATTCTCACTGGTGACTAGCCCATGTTCTCCCAACAAATTTTCTGGCTATGAAATGGCTCAATGCCTGCCTACAGAGGCCATGAGAAAGTCAAGAGTGGAGGTTGCACAGAGGAGCTCCATACAAACTGTAGAGTATTTCTGTATCATTTGGGTGTGCGCTGGCTGACAGCCTTCCATGTGGAGAAGACCTGTCTGGACTGTCAGTTCTCTTGTTGGGTGCCCTTGGACAAGTCATTTCACTTCTCTTGGCCTCTGTGTTCATCTGTCAAGTGGAAGTAACAGAACTCAGTTTCTACAAAAGTGGGGAGGTGAGTGAGTTGGTAGGTTACAAGCATGGGCCTGGTCCACTTCTGCTGCTGGGATGACAGTGTTGGTGTAGTTGTTGCTGAACTTGATAATAGGGATCACCTCAAGGGGCCTTCTAGAGACACATCTGAGTCCATGTGAGTATCAGGCATGCTAGTAGGCCCCTGGCTACTCAG